AGAGAGAGAGAGAGAGAGAGAGAGAGAGAGAGAGAGAGAGAGAGAGAATGAATGGATAAACGGTGGGTGATATATTCATATGTTAATTTTCTCCCCTACTGCTGTGCGACAACCAAAAACAACCTGGGAAGGAACGATTCCCAGTGCATACATACTCTTGAGAGAAGTCAGGGCAGAAACTGACTCTGAAGCCATGAAGGAACACTGCTTACTGGCTTGCTCCCCAGGGCTTGCTCAGCCTGCTCTCATAGAGTCCAGGACCACCTGCCCAGGGGTGACAGTGCCCACTCCCCCATCAATCATGAACCAAGGAAATGACCTACAGACTTACCTACCCACTAATCGGATGGAGGCAGTTTCTTCAGTTAAGGTTCCCTCTCTGATGACCCTTGCTTGTGTTGTATTGACAAGAGCCAATCTGCACAGATTATATTGACACCAATAATAATAATTATATATATATATATATATATATATACATATATATATATATATTTCAATGATTTCCAAAACGTAAACGTTTAACAGTATTAAATTTAACGATCTACATGGTATTTTTGAAATGACATTCAAAAATAGGCCAAAGTAGTGTGGTGGATCACACCTGTGATTCTAGCACTTGGGAGGTTAAGGCTGGAGAACTGCTACAGATTTGAAGCCAGCCTTAGCTACTTAGTCTAGGGCTAGACTAGGCTAAAGAATGAAGCCCTGACTCAAACAAGCAGGGCAGCCGAATTAAAGGTGCATGCCGTCAGAGGCTGCAGAGAACTGATGGTATGGACTGTCTCTGTTCCCCATTCGCCTGTGCACTCACTCCCCTTCTGAATAAAGATTTTTAAAAGTGTAATGTGTATCAGGAGGCAGAGACAGGAAGGTCACAGTGAGTTCAAGATGAGCCTGAGCTGCATGGTGAGTCCCAGGCCAGCCAGGGCTACATGGTTAGACCTTGACTCTAAATACACAAAACAGGCAAAAGTAATTCACAGTGATAAAAAGTCAAAACAGTGGTCACTTCTGTTTTCTTTTTGGAGATATTCTAGTGTGCTAGGATGTGCCACATCTTAATTGGTGGATGCAACTCTGTACATTTAAGATACGGGTACATACTTGGGAGGCAGAGGCAGGAGGATTTCTGAGTTCGAGGCCAGCCTGGTCTACAGACTGAGTTCCAGGACAGCCAGGGTTACACAGAGAAACCCTGTCTCGAAAAACCGAAAAAAAAAAAAACGGTACAAAGGAAACACCAAAACAAATTATGAATCTAGGTGGTTTCAATTATTGAGAGCTTTGTGTTAAAACTTAATGAGGATTTATGAATTAAGCTGTATTTGCAGAAGCCCATAATACTTTCATTGTTAAAAAGACAATGGGTTCTATATTCTAATAAGCATACAAATCAACAACAGGACTAAGTTGAAAATGAAAAATGCAGCAAAAATGAGTAAAAGAAAATGTTTCTTTAAAAGTGTGAGAACAACTAAAAGGGTTTGGAGACTATCTGGGATGGCCCAGTGGGTGGTTTTTGTGATTTTTGTCTTTAAACTTCAGTACCGTATTCTGCAAAAGCATATGAATGGAATATAATCCTGGATCTATTCATTTACTTAAAATTGAAAACAAAATCTGGGGCTGGGAATATGGCTCAGTGGTAGAGTGCTTGCACAAGGCTCTGGGTCCTTTTCTCAGTTCTCAGCAAAACCACCAAAAAACCTGTTGACCATTGATCAAACTGATTCCAGCTGTCATTTATGCTTCAAGTAGCAGATGTCCGACAATTTACATACGTTAGCTCATATTAGGTATATGATAGTTTCTGCAAAGTTGGTAGCGTTACCACCTTGGAGACCACTAAGTCACCCAAGCGTGTCAGCTCTGATATGGCTATGAATTTATGAATTGAGGCCTGACTCAGGTCTCCAGTCCCGTATGTGTGGTTAGAAGTCCTGGCGTCAGCAGAGACCGGGAGAACGAACGTCTTCTCTGATCAAACGAGACCCGCTACCTGCAAGCGCAGGTGTAGACGCGGTCTCCTTAGACAGACCTTCAGCACTCAGCCACACGGCCCAGGGTCTCTCGTTGGGTCCTGAGCTCGCGTGTTCCGTAGCGCCGCGCACCACCCCCAGGGCCTTCAGGTTGTCGGAGGCGGGGACGTGCATCGGCCGGCGGGAGCGCGCAGAGCTGAGAGGCCTGTGAGCCCGGCTGAGGGAGACATGCGGCGGACTCGCAGCGCCGTGGTCACCGACCCGCGGGAGCAGCGGCGCTCGGGGGCCTCCGGGGGCCTAAGCGGCGGCGAAAGCCGCGCGCGGCGCTCCCAGAGCAGGACTAGGGCCGGGGGCGGGGGCGGGGCGGCCGGTCCGCAGCCATCGGCAAAGCCGCGGCCCAAGCCACCGCCGCGGGCCCAGGAGGCGGCCGCCGAGGAGCCGCCGCCGGCGGACACCCCCGCCGCCGCGGTGTCGGCGCTCGACCTGGGGGAGCAGCGGGAGCGCTGGGAGACGTTCCAGAAGCGGCAACGGCTCAGCTTCGAGGGCGCCGCCAAGCTGCTGCTGGACACCTTGTGAGTGTGTCGGGGGCGGCGGGCCGGCACATGCGAGGTGCGCACGGGCGGCGGGACCCGAGGCTGAGTGCGGAGCGGTGGCGGGCTGCTCCGGACAGTGTCCGGCTGAGTTCGCGGGAGGGCCCCTCCGGGTGAAAAAACAGACACCCCTGGTTTCCCAGCTACCAAGACCGTTTTATCCGTATTTACACGTGCTTTCGGGGAGTGGGCTGGAGGAAAGGTCGAAGTGGAGAATTTACTGGCCTGGGGAGCGAAGGCCGGTTGTTCCGATCAGTTCCCTGGAGGGAGGGTGCGGGGTGCAGTTATTGATCTAGGAGGGAAACGCGCGCAAAGCGTTGTCCAGGACGGTCGCTTGCAGGGAGAGTGGGGAACTAAAGCTTTATGCTCTCATCCCGAGTCCGGGCTGGCAGGCTTTACTTTGCGCTCTAAGGTCTGTGCTTCTGAAGTGCTTCCAGCTTCTTTGATGGCCTAAGGAGCAGATCAGAGGTCCGTTATTGGGAGAAGAGCTGATAACTACTCTGGCCAGATGCATGGTTTTTGGCAGAAGTGATGTGAACCCCTTCCTCCTTTACCCATTGTGCTCCGAGAAATCCCGAGTACCCTAGTCATAGCTCTCATTCGCAGATGAGTTAAAAAGAACAATAAGAGACGGAGAGAACTAACATTAACCTAACAATTGCTTCGCAATCTGAACTACTTTTCATAACAACAAGATGTTCTTTTGTCTTTGTTCCAGAAGAAGTTCTCTAGGTTTTGGTGCATACTCTAAAAAATGAATTATTTGTTTAGCTTTCTATGTGTTTCGTTTACTCAAGTTTATTCTCTTAGGCTATAAATTGAATGCTTTGAAACATTAAAACAAAAAATCAGTTAAAGCTTAAAAAATTAAATATAACACGGAGTACCTGTTGTGTACTATCTACTGGGAGATCTAAAATGATACTATATAAAACTCCGTAGAGCTGGGCATGGTAGCACATGCCTATAATCCTAGCATTCAAGAGGCTGAGGTGGAGGAGTATAGCGATTTCAAGGGCAGTCTGGGCTACAGAGATAGATCATTTCTCTGAAGAAAGAGAAAGAGAGAAAGAAAAACAGAAACAAGCCTGTGAGAAGGTGATCCACGTGTGTAAACCAAGGGCAAGGAAGGTGGAGGCAGGACTAACTACAAGTCAAGGTCATCCTTGTCCACATACTTAATTTGAGGCCAGCTTGAACTGCAATGACACCCTGTCTCAAAAGGAAACAAAAAAGCTCCAATCCTTAGACACACAAAGCAAAAATTTGAGGCAGTATTTCCCCTAAAACAAAGTGATAACGAGCTAAAAAAAGATACTAAAAATATTCGCACGGAAAGAGGAGTTTCACTCAACAGATTAGCACGCTTTATGCTTGCTTAAATTTACTTTATGGTCTACTAAGCTAACTTTTGAAAAAAGAAAATGTGTGTTATATACACTAACATTTGGTTCAAATATCGCATAAAAAACCGGAGAACTGTATAGCAAATATGGGCTCTCTTAGTGGGATAATCACGGTGTGTGTGTCTCACTGTGTTATTTGAAATTTTTTTTTTACAATAAGCATTGTATATAGAAGAAGAAAATGAGATATTAACTTGTTAGAGAAACTAGGAGAGCTGCTTTCAGTCTTGCCTTTAATCAGATGGCAAATTGAAGCTGCTGTGAGCTGTTTTCCCTGTGGTGGTTATTCAGAAGTCACGGTGGAACATTCTCTCATTTATTTTTGGCAAGAATATTTAGTCTTTTGGGGAAGGGGCTTCAATGATGTTCATTAAATCTTAATGTTCAGTTATGGGGCTGGCTCCAACTGTGTACAGTTGTGTGAAAAGTCGTGTACTTGAGAAGCATGAGGAGAGTGAATGCAGTTAGAGAAGCCATCGTTGTCCCCTCAGAAGGCGACTGGGCCACCTGTCTTACTTTTTCATAGCCACTTGTGCCATCTTTATTACAATCAAAACTTGTTTGGCCTGTTTGCCTAGTGGCTGCTTAAGGCTAATAAGGTTTCTACTTGGTCCTTAGCTTGTAATTTATAAGAAAAATCAATCAGTTGACATATACATAAAAATGTTGGGGGTGGGGCAGATGAGCCAGGCTACACTCCTATCCTCATATTTACTGAGTTCCGGGAATATTTTATTTTGCAGTCATAAAATTCAAGACAGTTTCCAGTTGAAAGTTCAAGGCTAGCCTGGTCTACAGAGTGAGTTCCAGGACAGCCAGGCCTACACAGGGAAACTCTGTCTCGAAAAAACAAAACAAAACAAAACAAAAAAACAAACAACAACAAAAAAAACACAGCGTGAGGGAGCCAGGCCATAAAGCCCCTGCTTGTCTGTCAGAAATTTTTATGCTCTAGTTTTTATTTCATTTAGTGAGTACCAGGGCCTGGTGAAGCACACAGGAGGCTGCCACTGTGGAGCAGTTCGTTTTGAAGTTTGGGCTTCAGCAGACTTACACATCTTTGACTGCAAGTGAGTATTTTATCTTCCCAAATTGGTTTAGAAGACTTGAAGAGGAAAAAAAGGAGGGGGGGGGGGCTGTGCTTCAGACCAATGTGGAGAGTCAGGGTCTAGATGAAACAGTGTTGGCCATGAGCTGATAACTGTTACATCAGGTACTGAGGACATAAAGGTTCATTGTTCTGTTCTTTGCCTTGTGTACAACTTGGAATTTTCAGTGATAACTAAGAAAAAAAAATGTATCATATGTTATTCACTTAGTGTGTGCGTAGATCAAAGGACAACTTGTGGGATGGAGTCTGTTCTCTCCTTGTCCTAGGGTCATTTGGTCATCAGACTGGTGGCAGGTACTTTCACCTGCCAAGTCATCTCACTGGTTTGATAATTTTTTTTTTAAAGTGGGGGAAGACTAAACATTCTGAGTTAGTCAGAGTAACACCCATAGTTTGTGTGTTCAGGAGTCTGTGTGTGTTTGTACCACAGAGTTACACAGCAGTATAGTTCAGGTGACAGAAAGCTGGGATTCTAGGGCTGTGGCTTATAGTCTCGGGCCTCCAACTGATCCCACTGATTTAGGGGTGATTAGAAGAGGTAGATCAGGCTGGCCGTAATTCCCTATTGGGTTGCTGGGAATCCACTTTGAGCAGAATCTTCTTAGGAGTCTCTCAGTGAAGTTTAATGGAAGTAATCTGGTGGAGAGTTATTTACACCTGGAAGCTTTTCATGCACTGAATCTCTCTCTGTTCTTGCCATGAAGCCCATAGTGCCACCCCGAACAGTGGAAGGCCTGCTTTTTTTTTCCTTTTAAGAATTATTTATTTACTTTATATATGAGTACACTGTAGCTGTTTCTAGACACACCAAAAGAGGGCATCAGATCCCATTACAGGTGGTTGTGAGCCACTATGTGGTTGCTGGGAATTGAGATTACTGGGAATTGAGCTCAGGACCTCTGGAAGAGCAGTCATCTGAGCCATCTCTCCAGCCCCTGAAGGCCTGCTTCTTAGCATCTTCCCTGACATTATAATAGAGCAGGAATAGGCTTTGCTTTCTGGACTGGCTATGGGCGTGTACTTAATTACTCAAGAGGGTCCAGTCCTTTTTCCTCTAATTGTACCTAAATCTTATATGAATAATAAATACTATAAATATTATTTATTATATAAATAATAAATACTCCTCAAGTGTAGAACTGGCTAGGCCAGTAATGAAGTCCAGATTTCGAAGGAAGCATTATGGCATATTTTTTTAGAGATTCCTATACTAAGTCAGAATACTTTAAAGTATAAATTAGGGCTGGAGGTAGAACCTTTCCCTAATATGTACAAAGCTGGGTTTGATCTCCACCACTGCATAAGCTTGGCATGATTATATGCCTGTAATCCCAGGGGGAGGTAGAAACAGGAGGATCAGAAGTTCAGGGTTGTGTCCTCAGCCGCATCAGTGTTTGTGACCAGCGTGTGTACGTGAGACTCTTTTCTCAAAATAAGCAAGCAAGGAAAGAAGTTCAAGGCCATCTTCAACTCTATAGTAAGTGTGAAGCCAGCCTGGGGATACATGAGACCCTGTCTAAAAAATAAAATAATGTTAAAATTTTAACATGACCCCTCTATTTCAAAGAACAAAATAAAGTTAAAATTTTTAAGAACTTATTTTATGCATGTGGATGTTTTACATGCATGAATGTCTGCACAACATGCTCCCAGAATGTAGAAGAGGGTGTTTGATACCCTGGAACTGTGAGCTACCAGGTGGATACTGGGAATTGAACCAGAGTCTGCTGTTACTCTTAACTAATCCTCTTAATTGCTGAGCCATCTCTAGTTCCAAAGTTAAATTTCTTAAAAGAGTTGGAGATATACTTTAGTAGTAGAATGCCTGCTTAGTATGCATGATACCCCGGGTTCAGTATGCCTAGGGTAGAGAAATAAAAACAGAGAAAAATAGTGGGTTGAAAAGATATTGACTCAATTTCCAGTTTGGTATTTCTGAGTAAAATGCTTGGAGCTTGATTTTCTTATGTGGAACTAGAGGAAACCTAAGGTTCCTTCCTCGGTTCTGATGTGCCCGTCTAAAGAGGCACGAGAGTATAGCAGCGTCTGAAATTCATCTTCTGAGTGTCTTTTAAGTCCACTGTTTCTCTTCAGGGTCGGGAGGGGGGGCAGCAGAAATGAGGTCCAGGATTGCTGAATGCTGTGTGGTCTCCCCTGCTGGCTCTGTCACCAGTAGGCTTCACTGCCACGAAGAGCTGAGGCTTCAGGTGGCCTGTCCAGCTGCCTAAGTCCTCTTCCCTGGATGGTGCTGAGAAGGGTGCCCCACTTGAGGTCAGCTGGTTCTGCAGGCATTGGGCTGGGATGCTTGGGAACGTGGGTAATGCAGATGACAACTGACAGTCCGGCCCTTGCTCTCTCTGTAGCTGTAGCATTTGCAAGAAGAAGCAGAATAGACACTTCATTGTTCCAGCTTCTCGCTTCAAACTCCTGAAGGTTAGTACTGAGGAGGAGGGTAGAACCCATGTATAAGAACCACAAATCCCTGCCCCATCTTCTATGCCTGCTATCTGTAAACTGAGGGACAGAGAGCTCAGCAGGGGATTTTAAGGACTTTGAGATCCTTTTTTTTTTTTTTTTTCTTAGATGGAGCCTCTCAGTATGTAGCCTAGGCTAACCCTCAAACTTATCTTCCTCTTACCTAAGCCTCCCAAGTGCTGAGGTCACAGACTTGTGTCACTATTCCTCGTTGATTATTTTTCACTTTTTTTTTTTTTAAGTGTTAGGAATTGAACTCGGGGGCCTGAACAATGTTGCTCATAGGTTTGCCACACTGAGCGCTGTCTCTAGTCTACAAGTCTACTTTAACTGACTTAGTTGTTTTAAACTTTTTCATTTAAATTTTTTATTTATTAGTGAGTAGGCACCTGGCACAGCACACATGTGGAGGTCAAAGGACAGCTTGGTGGAACAGATTCTCTCCTTCTACCTCCAAAGGTTTTTAGGCATCAGACTCAAATCACAGCCTCTGTGGTAAACACCCTTACCTGTTGAGGCATCTCACTAGTCCCTGTTTATTTACTTTTTGAATTGATAAATTGTTTGAGACAGCCAGGCTGGCCTTGAATTCCTGACCTTCCTGATTCTGCCTTTGAAGAACTGGGCTCACAGGCACACACCACTATGCCTGTCTTCTTTTAAGTGTTGGGATTGAACTCGGGGCCAAAGTTTATTTGATACCATTGTAGAAACATTTTTCAAATTCAGAAAGCCACAAAAATAAAAGTCATTTTGAAAACTGAAGAATTATCTGAATAACCTGTATTACTTTTGAAAAAATATAAGAGAAATAAAGGCATTCAAAGGTAATCATTGCTATTTTGACACACTCTTTTATATGTTATTCTTCCTCTCCTCCAGTCACCCCTCTCTCTGACTGAGTCTCATGTGTCCCAGGCTGACCTTGAACTCCCGATCCTTCTGCCTCTATCTCAGTGCCAGGAGTAAAGGTCTGTGCTACCGTGCCCTTCTGCAGTGCTGGGGATTGAACCTAGTGCTTCATGAATGCTAGGCAAGTCCTGTAATAACTGAGCTATGTTTCTGGCCCTACACATATTATTTTTTATATAGATATGTATCTAAACATCTAAGTCATCTGAGTCATCTCACATTTATTTATTTTAAATATGAGATCTTGCCCTATGGCCCAGACTGCCTCCTGTGCTCCTAAGAGGCACCCCTGCCTCAGTCTCCTAAGTGCCTACCACTCCAAGTGCTTGTGACCTTGTTGGTTTGGATGTCATATATTTTTATCAAAATATTACATAAGCCAATGTGCTGGCTAGTTTTATGTTGACTTCACACAAGCTCGAGTTACTAGAGAGAGGGGACCCTTAATTGAGAAAATGGCTCAGTAAGATTGGGCTTTAGGCAGGTCTGTAGGGCATTTTCTTTTCTTTTTTTTTTTTTTTTTTTTTTTTTTTTTTTTTTTTTTTGGTTTTTTGAGACAGGGTTTCTCTGTGTAGCCCTGGCTGTCCTGGAACTCACTCTGTAGACCAGGCTGGCCTCGAACTCAGAAATCCACCTGCCTCTGCCTCCCAAGTGCTGGGATTAAAGGCGTGCGCCACCACTGCCCGGCTCTTTTTTTCTTTTTAAAGATTTTTTAAGGTTTATTTTTATTTTATGTATGTGAATACACTGTAGCTATATTCAGACACACCATAAGAGGGCATCAGATCTCATTATAGATGGTTGTGAACCACCATGTGGTTGCTGGGAATTGAACTCAAGACCTCTGGAAGAGTAGTCAGTGAGCCATCTTAACCGCTGAGCCATCTCTCCAGCCCAATATAATTTCTTAAATGAAATCAAGCCAGGAGTGCACTGCTGCAAATCCAAGAACTAGGGGGTCCCAGTGGTACCCAAATCCTCTTAACCTATGCACCCACCAAGTTGACGCCATGTGCCTTGTTCCTAACTAGAATGCCATGGACTCCCATCATCAAAGTTTGCCACATGGAGGTAGGTGTGGTGGTGCACACCTTTAGTCCCAGCACGTAGGAGGCAGAGGCAGGCAGATCTCTGTATTTGAGTTCAACCTCGTTTACAGTAAGTTTCAGGACAGCTAGGTCTACATAGTGAGACTCTTGCTATTAAAAAAAAAAAAAAAAAGGTCTGCCACATGGGTCAGTCCTTGACTTCTTGCCAGGCAGAAAACACCAACAACAAATCCAATGACTTTGTCATTTTTCATTCTTTGGCCTGTGCTAGAAAAATTTTATATCAACTTTATATGAACAAGTGAGGATCATTGGAGAAGAGAAAACCTTACTTAAGAGAAAGCTTCAATAACATCAGTCTAGGCAAGCTTGAAGGGTTTGGTTAAGCTTTGAAACACATGAATCTGTAGGGGCCAAACCTACTGAAACCACCACAAGGCTCTCACGGACCCTGGTAGTTCTGATGCTCCCAGGATGGGTAAGAGCCCCTCATTACAGTGTCCTTGTGTGCACACATGGCTCCAATTTCTTCCTGCAGTAGATGGTGTGTAGTGATCCACGAGGAAGTGTGAAAAGTACACTAGTAGTAAGTCGTCTGGCTGCAATTGACTCCGTGGTTAAGAGCCCAAGCGTGAGTCAGGACCCAGTGTTTCTGATTTCCTAGAGCACCAACAAACACACAAAATTAAAAATAAATCTTAAAAAAAAAGTTTAGGGGCTGGAGAGACCATTAAGAGCACTGGCTGTTCCTCCAGAAAACCCAGGTGCTGTAGTCCCAGGGGTCTGATGCCCTCTTCTTACCTTCATGGAACCAGACATATACTAGGTGCATATACACGCACACGCAGTCAAAACACCCAAACACATAAAATGTAATAGATAAATACAAAATTAATAAATGGGGCTGGAGAGATGGCTTAGTGGTTAAGAGCACTGGGTGCTCTTCCAGAGGATTCAAGTTCAAGTTTAAGATTTTCTTAAGTTCTCCAATTCCAGGAGATCTGACACCCTCATACAGGCATACATGGAGGCAGAACAGCAATGCACATAAAATAAAAATAAATTAAATTAAAAAAAAAACACTCAAAAATGTTAAATTTATTTTTTATGTATGTGTGAGTCTGTGTGTATGTGCATGTATGTGTCTACATGGTTGTGTGTGTACATATGCAGAAGCCCACAAAGGCCAGAAGAAGGCATTGGATCCCTGGGAGCTGGAGTTCTAAGACATTGTGAGATGCGTAAAGTGTGGGCTTTTCTCTTCCCTCCCTTGTTCTCAAATAATGATGTGACACGGAGACCTTTATATTTACTAGAAGCTTCTTGCACTATAGCTGGGTAGATACTCATCATTCTAACCTGACTATGCTGATATGACCTACTTCCCAGTCACGTAGCCCGTTACCTGCCATCTTGGCCTGGGCCACGGCCTTCTCCTTCTTCTGTGTTCTCACAGCTTCCCCGTCCCACCTGAGACCCCCCCAGTCCTCTGAAAGAGCAAGAAGGACTTTTAACTATTTAACCATCTAGCCCCTCGTTGTCATGACTACTGTTATTCTTTTTTTGAGACAGGGCCTCATGCAGCCCAAGCTTGATCCTCCTGTCTCCACCTTCCAAGTGCTAGCGTTACAGGCACGCAACACTACCACTAGCCGAATGTGTTTCTGTATCTGCTCTTAAATGCCATGCTAACCACCATTGTGGTTTTTAAAATCATTTTCATTTCATGTGCGTTGGTGTTTTGCCTGCATGTATGTCTTCTGTGTGAGGGTGTCCGATCCTCTGGAACTGGAGCTACAAACAACCATGAGCTGAGCTGCTGTGTGGGTGCTAGGTCCTCTGGAAAAGCAACCAATGCCTCTAAACACTGAGCCATCCCTCCAGTCTCCACAGTTTGTGATTTTTTTTAAAAAAAGATGTATTTATATTGTTATGTGTATGTATGCATTGTTATTAAGCACAGGTACGTGCAGGTGTCCACAGAGGCCGGAGGGGTTGTTAGGCCGGTTGCTCTTATGTATGTACGTGTGTACATACACATGTGAGTGCAGGTGCTGTCTGTGTACATTGGCGTGTGAGCTCGCTGTGGAGCAGGAGTTACAGGCAGTTTTGAGCTGCCTGAAGTTGGTGCTGGGAACAGAACTCTTCTGCAATAGCAGTATGTGATCTAACTGCTGAGCCATCTCTCCAGCTTCACATTTGTGATTTTTTTTAAAAAACCCTTTTTCACCAAGTTATAAGAAATAGCCTGTGGGGTTGGAGAGATGGCTCAGTGGTTAAGAGCACTGACTGCTCTTCCAGAGGTCCTGAGTTCAATTCCCAGTAACTACATGGTAGCTCACAACCATCTGTAATGAGATCTGATGCCCTCTTCTGGTGTGTCTGAAGACAGCGACAGTGTACTCATATACATAAAATAAATAATTTTTTTTAAAAAAATATCTTTTTGTAGGTCATCCATGTAAGCATCATTTCATATCTTCTGTTCTTTCAGTTGTCCATTCATATACTTTTTCCATTTTTCATTTATATTATTCATTAAGAACACTAGCCGGGCAGTGGTGGCGCATGCCTTTGATCCCAGCACTTGGGAGGCAAAGGCAGGTGGATCTCTGAGTTTGAGGCCAGCCTGGTCTACAGAGTGAGTTCCAGGACAGCCAGGGCTAATAGAGAAACCCTGTCTCGAAAAAAAACAACAAAAAACAAGCAAAAACAAGAACACTAACCGTGGGGCTCAGTGGTTGGGAGCACTGGGTGCTCCTCCAAAGGAGCCAGGTTCAATTCTCAGCATCCACATGGCAGCTCACAAATGTCTGCACCCCTAGTCCCAGGGGATCTTACACTCTCACACAGATGTACATGCAGGCAAAACACCAATCCACATAAAATTAAATAAATTATTAAAGAACACCTCAGGACTTAATGCCCAGAAGTAACACTACCTATAATAGCCTGCCCCCCCCCCACATTAAATAAAAGAAAGAAAACTAACCGTTTGCCTATGACATGTAGCAAAGAGTTTTTTCCTAGTTTATCATTAATATCTCAAGTATAGTCAGTAGTGCCCTTAAGATGTTTGCCACTGTGTTTTTTTTAGACATAGAGAGCCAGTCCCTCAGATCTCTTATGGGTCTTCTGTTTGACACCAGCGAAGGCCTGAAGATGGTCTGTTCACTGTGCAGTTGGCATAAGAGATCCACAGACTGTCATGAACTGTGTCTGGGGAGTACAGATGGGTCCCTGACTTCAAGATGCTCTCAGTCTTTTCTAGGAATCAAGCTGTCCCCATAACCCAGAGAACTGTACAAAAGGGCACCCCCTCTAATGTTTCAAAAGATTGACTTTTAGTAACATTAAATGATGAGTTTGTCTGTCTGTCCCTGTTTTCTCAGGGTGCTGAGAGCATCACCACATACACGTTTAACACACACAAAGCCCAGCACACCTTCTGTAAGAGATGTGGTGTCCAGAGCTTCTATACTCCACGCTCCAACCCTGGGGGCTTCGGTGAGTGAAGGGAGCGTCTGCGGGCTTGGGACCCCGAGGTGCCTAGAGTGCTAGTGGTTGGACAGATGGGTCCTGGCATGTGTCAGAAGAACAAGGTCCGTCCGATGAGCTGGTCAAGTATCTGGGCATATGGTAAAGTTTTCCATCTATAGGTGGTTTTTATCACTGGTACTATAGGGCTATGGGGAGACCTGTAAGGTAGAAGATCAGTGGGATGGGGGTGAAGAGAGGCTGGGTGGTTAAGACTGCTGGCTTGTTCTTCCAGAAGACCAGTGTTCGATTCCCAGTCTCTATCTGAACTCCAGTCTTGGGAGTCTGACACTCTCCTCTTGTCTCTGTGGGCACTGCATGCATGTGGTGCACAAACAGATCTGCAGGCTAAACACTTATACGCATAAAAGAAATAAGTGTATAAAATAAAATTCAAATTAAAAAACCAAGATGGGTAGGAAATGGGCCTGTGGCTTTGGGGGAGGCCACTGGAACAATGAAAGTATAAAGGGAGGGAAGAGGCCAGAATGATGGCCGGTGCTAATATTATTTTAAAACAAAAGTAAGGGCTATGGCTGTCGCTCAGTGCTAGAGCAAACACTTGCCTGGTATGCATGATCCCCATCCTGCTCCTAAATAAATAAATAAAAAAGTTTAGTTCCAGGAAAAAAGAAAGTCCTCTACAGTGGCTACTGTCTGCATGGACTGTATACTCGATTTCATGTCCACAGTTAAACAAAAGGCAGGACAGGGGGAGGAGCCAAGTGTGGACGTGGTGGTGAATATCTTTGATCTTAGCACTTGGGAGGTAGAGCCAGATACAGCTCTGTGAGTTCTAGGCCAGCCTGATCTACAGAGTGAGTTCTAGAACAGCCAGGGCCACACAGTGGGACCCTATCTGGAAAAAAGCATCATCAACAAGGTGTGCTGGTGCCTAACCCCAGCACTTGAGAGGAGAAGGTAGAGTGATCGGAAGTTCAAGGTCACCTTCAGCTATGTAACTACTTTGTGATTAGCCTAGGCTAGAGACCTTCCTGTCTCAAAAATAAAGATATGGGGGAGCTGGAAAGTCAGCTCAGTGGTTAAGTTCTCTGGGTGATCGTGCAGACGATCTGGGTTTGGTTTCCAGCACCAAAAGGTGGCTCATACCATCTGTACTCTCAGGGGTCCAGTGCCCTTTATTGTTCTCTGCAGGCACCAAGCATGCTTGTATACATATTCATGGTACACAGATATGTATGCAGACAAAACACCCATACACAGAAGAAAAATACATTTATTTAAAAAAAAAAAAAAAGCAAGAGGAGCCTCTAGAGTCCTCTTCAGGCCCTGCTTGACCTGGAAGTGGAGTGGCTACAACCCGCCCTTAGAGTAAATAGAGACTGACTGTCTCTGTGTAATAGCCCACCTGAAGCTGTGGGTGCAGCTGTGACTCTGCCTATGCCTGTCTTCTGGTGCAGAGAGGAGAAGGCATGATGTCATGCCAGTCTCCTCACCCCATGTCTTCAGCTGCTGCTGCTGGTTCCTGGTCCACCAAGCCCTAGTTCCTTGGAACAAGAAAGGAGTTTTTGTTGTTCATTTGTTGGGTTGTTTTGTGTTTGGGGAACTGTCTTTTATTGTGTAGCCCAGGCTAGTCTCAAGGCAGGCCTCCTGCTTCTGAGGCCTAAGTACTGAGATCAGGCATCATGCCTGATCAAGAGAAGATTTTAATAGTTATAAAGTCCTGTATAAATTGCAAAGTATTCAATTCTTTATCTAAACCCAGGAAAAGCCTGAGAAGTTTTCAGACTGCCACTCAAAAGAGATTGTGCCAGGCCTGAACTTTTCTAATACTTTTCATAATTAATGGCCCCCACCCCTCTTTGTACTAGGGACTGAAGACAGGGCCTTGTACATGCTAGGCAAGTGTTGTACCACTGAGCTATGTCCCCAGGCCTCAGTGTGGTTTTGAATGCTATGTAGCATTGGTTGACCCTCATCAGGGCATCAGATCTTCATGTGGCAGGTGAGGACCAGAAGGCTGAAGGCGTAGGCCGACTAGAGCAGTGTTAGTACAGTATTAGTAATCAGCAAGCCACAAGTCATCCTCACGAGCTGCCTGCCACTCAGGTAGCTCGCGTGTGGGATAATGGTGCTTGCAACACATTCTCTGGTCTTACCCACACTTGGAACCCCTCTCTTTGTTCCGCTTGCCCCTAGGAATCGCCCCCCACTGCCTGGACGAAGGCACCGTGCGGAGTGTGGTCATTGAGGAATTCAATGGCAGTGACTGGGAGCGAGCCATGAAGGAGCACAAGACCATCAAGAACATGTCTAAGGAGTGAGCAGGGCAGCAGCCCTGTAGGTTGCGTGGGTGTGTGTCGCTGTGCAGGCCTGGGCTGCCATCTCCACTCCCCATGTCCCTGCGGTTCGCTCCAGCCACCATTTCTTTAGGCAGCTCTGCCCTTATCCCAGGTTTCATGTAAGACAGTTACCCTCCTCCCTTCCTACCAACTTTTGTGTGATCTTTTAGAAAATAAATATTTCTGACACTAATGCTATTACTATGACGTATTTCTTTGAACTTTTACTTTTGCTTCTGAGGCCTATCACTTCAGAGCAGATTAAAATAGCAGGCACTATTAAGATGCCTGCAGCCACACTGAGAAGAAACAAGACAGCAGTTACCACCAGAAGACTAAATGATTACAGTCCGAGTGAGCTGTGAAGACCTGAACTCTAGGTGCTCAGGGTGCACAGGGCTAGTCCAGGAGTGCCTGGGAGGCTGTGACAGGAGTCACTCTGGACATGCGCTTTTAGTTTATTTCTTATCTATTCATGTATTTGATTATTTTTGTCACAGTGGGCTCTTAGTTGGCAGGTTTGTTTGTTTGTTTGTTTGTTTTTTAACAGATTGTTGTGAGCCACCTGGGAATTGAACTTAGGACCTCTGGAAGAACAGTCAGTGCTCTTAACCACTAAGCCATGTCTCTAGCCCCCCCCCCACACACTTTTTTTTTAAGATTTTTTTTTCTTATTTATGAGTACACTACATCTGTCTTCAGACACTAGTGCATTGAATCACATTACAGATGGTTGTAAGCCACCATGTGGTTGCTGGGAATTGAACTCAGGACCTCTGGCAGAGCAGTCAGTGCTCTTAACCATCTCTCCAGTCCTTAGTTGGCAATCTTTTTCTTTTTCTTTTCTCCTCCTCCCAATAGTTTCATCATGTAGCCCAGGGTGGCCTGTGTCTGCATGCCTCAGCCTCCTGCGTGTTAGGTTATAAGCGTGCACTGCTGTGCCTACCCACATTTTTAAAAATAAGGTAAACCAGCTTCTTTATTTTGATTTTCTGTCGTTAAGTGCTGTGGTTAGAAGCTAGGCCCATATGCATGCTAGGCAGCAGCCTTAGCCACTTAGGTTCTCTCTCTCTGGTAAGACAGATGTAGCACAAAATGTAGCATCTTAACCGCACATGGGAACACAGGTTATGCATATGAACACATACCACACGAATATACATCCCCAAAAATGAAAAAAGGACAGTTTGGTTATTCACCAACTGAAGTTTTAGTGTCAGAAGGTTGGTTTTTATTATAAAGGTAATTGAGAAACTGAAAACAGCTTTGAATAAGGCAAAGCCAGGCCGTTATACAAAAATTATAATTAAATTGTACTCATGTTTATTAACTACTTAATATTTTCCAGGAACTATTTAATGTAATTGAACAAATAACTCAGTCTTTTCTTTTAAAAAACTAGCAAAGAAAAAAATTAGCAAAGGCTTTTAGTATCACTATAGCATTTAAAAAGTTAATCTGGGTATGGTGGCACACACCTTTAATCCCAGCACTTGGGAGGCAGAGGCAGGCAGATCTCTGAGTTTGAGGCCAGCCTGGTCTACAGAGCGAGTTCTAGGACAGCTAGGGCTACACAGAGAAACCCTGTCTCCAAAGAGGGAAGAATCATTAGTGTGCATCCTTGTATGCTATAGTCTGCCTTAACAACTGCTTATTAAGTACTCGGGTATGTTCACTGCTTCACAGAGAGGTTTGAGGGAAGCCACATGATGGAAATGCAAAGGAACAGAGAGACACTGAGCCAAAGACAAGACTGCAGGGGAAGAGTCCCCCAAAGAGGTCACCTCAGAAAATGCTGTCATTTACAACTCAGACTCTGAAAGCGTGACAGCTGAAGCCAGATCCCAGGAACCCTTGGTGGGAAGAGAGAACCCACTCCTGAAAGTTGTTCTCTGAGTTCCATGTTTGTAGGGGAGACAATCCATCAAATAGACTAACTATCAAAGTCAGTCCTAGGGATACACAGCCACAGAGACTGCATTTTCACAGTCCAAACTCCATGGTTGCTCATGTCTGTAATCTCAGTATTCAGGAGGCAGAGGCAGGAGGATCGTGGCAAGCTCCATGCCAGTCGGTCAAAAGAGCAAATTTCAGACAGTCCAGACTTCACAGTAAGACATAGTATGTCTCAAAAATAAACAGACAAAGGTGAAGTGGAAACGTAAAGGTTCTTTGGAGAGTCAGTTGTGTTGGATGGTGTTTTGCTGGGGGAAACACGTGAAGAAATGTTTTCCTGAAGTGGACACAGGTGAAAGACTAAGGCAGACTCGTGAAGGAACGTTTTGCTAAAGCAGACACAAGAGAGAGGATGTTCTGTTAAAGCAAATCTGTGAAAGGACACGTGATGAAGGACTCTTTGCTAACAACACTCATGTATTGATCTTACATTGTGTGGTTGAGTTCCATTTGTTGGGACTCCATAGAGAGAAACGCACCTAAAATATCTGATTGGAAGATTGATGTCAGCTGAGACAGAAGCCTGTGCTGAGGCAAGGCACGTGCTGAGGTAAGACCCGTGGAGGACGCAAGATGTTCAGAGGGTAGAAATAGGACTCTACAGACAGTGACAGGCTGAGTTTGGCTTGCTTATAGAGCTAGCTATGCAATACTTGTGGGTCTTCCGATGATCTTAGCTTCCCCAAGAGACGCACAGCCAAGAACTTCTGGCATTCCTCCTTGGTCCCTCCTGCTGAGGCTGAGGCCTGGCTGGTTCTGCTAGGTAGTGCCACCACCACTGCTGTTTCATGTTTTCATCCCGACGCTACCGAACTGGACTGCTGATGAAGTGTTTGCAAGTGGAGTGGATTGAGCTGCTGTTTCTGCAGACCTGTGAACTGAACTGCAGTTTTCCAGACAACACAGACAGGAGTTGCTCCCAAGATCCTTTCTAAACAGGTCCACTTGCCCCATATCCTTTCTATTTCATTGTCTCTGATGGTTAGTGGGCTACAAGGGCGGTTAAAATGTTAAGAACCACCATTAAAAATAGACATTTAAAAATATTAAAGTTACATGAAGGAGCTGGAGAGATGACTCTGTGGTTGGGAGCACTGGATGCTTTTCCAGAGGACCCAGGTTCAATTCTCAGCACCCACATAGCAGCTCACACCTGTCTGTAACTCCAGTTCCAGGGGATCCGACACACATGCAGACAAAACACCAATAAATATAAAATAAAAAAAAAACAATAAAAAAAATACCAAAAATTCTAGGCATTCTGGACTTTATGTTTAAAAAATAGTTTTAAAATTTAATTTCCTAAAAAAGATTTATTTATATATTTTATGTATATGAGTGCCCTATCTGCACGTATAATGTATCCCATTATAGATGGTTGTGAGCCAACATGTAGGTGCTGGGAATTGAACTCAGGACCTCTGGAAGAACAATCAGTGCTCTTAACTGCTGAGCCATCTCTCTAGCCCTAAAGTGTTGTTTTGTTTTTTAAGACAGGGTTTCTCTGTGTAGCTCTGGCTGCCCTGGAACTTGCTCTGAAGATTAGGGTGGCCTCAAACTCAGAGATCTGCCTGCCTCTGCCTCCTGAGCACTGGGATTAAAGCAATGCCACCACCACCGATTTTATTTTATTTTATCTTATTTTATTCTATTTTATTTTTTGAATTTCCCTCTTTCAGCCTCTCCACCCTGCTAGACTTTGTAAGGTATAAGGGAGGAGTTTACTTCCATATCATCAAAATGGGTAATAGGTTGCCAACAATTCCTTTGATTAATCAACCATCAATTTTTCATGGATTTAAAATGCTAATGTGCAAAATGTATTTTCAAATCTGTAGTTTTCATTTCTTCTCATTTATTAATTTTTAAAAAATTTATACTGTGTGTCTTCATGCACGTGTGTGTGTGTGTGCCTGAGCCTGAGCCTGAGCCTGTGTGCAGTCTATGGCATCCTTAGAGGTCAGAGGATAGCTTGCAGAATCAGTTCTTTCCTTTGCCCATGTGGCTTTGGGGGATGAACTTGGGTCATCAGGATAGTGGCAAGCATCTTTACTCTCTGGCCCAAGCCTGTATTCTTTGTTTTGAGACAATATCTTACTGTGTGGTCCTTGCTACCCTAGAACTGACCTTGAATGTACAGATCTGCCCACTTCTACCAACAGGCCTGGGATTTAGGGGTGATGGCTGACCTTTGTTATCACCTTGACTACATCTGGAATCTTTTAAACCCCAAGCAGCTTGGCATGCCTATGGGAGATTTTTACTTGGTTGGATCACTTGAGGTAGGAAGACTCGCCCTAAATTAGGGATGTACCTTCTGGTGGCAACTTATATGAAAGGAAATGTAAGAAGGAAACTTGCCTTTTGCTTGCTTGCCTTCACTCGCAATGGCAAGTCCATCTATTCTGCTGCTAAGGCATTTATTCACTATGATTAAATTATATTCCTTCCTTCAGGATTCCAAGGGAAACCAAAGACCAGCTGAGACATGTGGCCTTGTAAAATGAACAACTAGCAGATTCTTAGCCTTCCTGTTTCAAGGTAGCAATTGTTGGACTAGCTAGACCACAGACTGTAAGCCACTCTAATAACACACACACACACACACACACACACACACACACACACACACATGCATACATGTAAACCTATTACAATTGTCTTTCTGATTTATGGTTATTGGATTTGTACTGGTTTACCTTTTTCTAGTATATTTTAGTTCTAAAAAACTCAAGATGAGCAGTGGTAGTGCATGCCTTTAATCCCAACACTTGAGCAGAGGCAGGCAGATCTCTGTGAATTTGAGGCCAGCATGGTCTGCAGAGTGAGTTCTAGGACAGCCAGGGCTACACAGAGAAACTCATTCTTGAAAAAAATCAAGAAAAAAAAATCTCATCAGTAAAGCTTTGTGCCATATGACTGTTGTCAGCTGGCACCAGGCCCTTGAAGAACTCTTATTTTGAAATGGTGGCTAATTTTTAAGTTCTTTCTATAGTATAGTATTGTGAGTGCATTCAACTGAAATTGGCCACCGAGTTTGGGATTGCTCAACTTAATGCCAGTGTTTTTTATTGTGTGAGGACAAAGGAGCAATCTGACTCTTTAGTTTAAAGAGACACTTTGTCAACACTTTGCCTGGGGCCCAAGCCCATACAGGCCTGAACTTATCTCCCTTTTCTCCCTCCATCCTCATAGCAGGAGCACCCCAGCCTTGTGATCCTGAGTTCCATGTCTCTTATAGT